CAGCCCTTAGTGTCACACCAGGTGGTACAGCTTCAATGGGCAAGGTTTAGTTACAACAGCCCTTGAGTGTCACACCAGGTGGTACAGCTCAATGGGCAAGGTTTAGTTACAACAGCCCTAGTGTCACACCAGGTGGTACAGCTTCAATGGGCAAGGTTTAAGTTACAACAGCCCATAGTGTCACACCAGGTGGTACAGCTTCAATGGGCAAGGTTTAAGTTACAACAGCCCTTGGTGTCACACCAGGTGGTACAGCTTCAATGGGCAAGGTTTAGTTACAACAGCCCTTAGTGTCACACCAGGTGGTACAGCTTCAATGGGCAAGGTTTAGTTACAGCAGCCCTTAGTGTCACACCAGGTGGTACAGCTTCAATGGGCAAGGTTTAGTTACAACAGCCCTTAGTGTCACACCAGGTGGTACAGCTTCAATGGGCAAGGTTTAGTTACAACAGCCCTTAGTGTCACACCAGGTGGTACAGCTTCAATGGGCAAGGTTTAGTTACAACAGCCCTTAGTGTCACACCAGGTGGTACAGCTTCAATGGGCAAGGTTTAGTTACAACAGCCCTTAGTGTCACACCAGGTGGTACAGCTTCAATGGGCAAGGTTTAGTTACAACAGCCCTTAGTGTCACACCAGGTGGTACAGCTTCAATGGGCAAGGTTTAGTTACAACAGCCCTTAGTGTCACACCAGGTGGTACAGCTTCAATGGGCAAGGTTTAGTTACAACAGCCCTTAGTGTCACACCAGGTGGTACAGCTTCAATGGGCAAGGTTTAGTTACAACAGCCCTTAGTGTCACACCAGGTGGTACAGCTTCAATGGGCAAGGTTTAGTTACAGCAGCCCTTAGTGTCACACCAGGTGGTACAGCTTCAATGGGCAAGGTTTAGTTACAACAGCCCTTAGTGTCACACCAGGTGGTACAGCTTCAATGGGCAAGGTTTAGTTACAACAGCCCTTAGTGTCACACCAGGTGGTACAGCTTCAATGGGCAAGGTTTAGTTACAACAACCCTTGAGCACACCAGGTGGTACAGCTTCAATGGGCAAGGTTTAGTTACAACAGCCCTTAGTGTGGTGGTACAGCTTCAATGGGCAAGGTTTAGTTACAACAGCCCTTAGTGTCACACCAGGTGGTACAGCTTCAATGGGCAAGGTTTAGTTACAACAGCCCTTAGTGTCACACCAGGTGGTACAGCTTCAATGGGCAAGGTTTAGTTACAACAGCCCTTAGTGTCACACCAGGTGGTACAGCTTCAATGGGCAAGGTTTAGTTACAACAGCCCTTAGTGTCACACCAGGTGGTACAGCTTCAATGGGCAAGGTTTAGTTACAACAGCCCTTAGTGTCACACCAGGTGGTACAGCTTCAATGGGCAAGGTTTAGTTACAACAGCCCTTAGTGTCACACCAGGTGGTACAGCTTCAATGGGCAAGGTTTAGTTACAACAGCCCTTAGTGTCACACCAGGTGGTACAGCTTCAATGGGCAAGGTTTAGTTACAACAGCCCTTGGTGTCACACCAGGTGGTACAGCTTCAATGGGCAAGGTTTAGTTACAACAGCCCTTAGTGTCACACCAGGTGGTACAGCTTCAATGGGCAAGGTTTAGTTACAACAGCCCTTAGTGTCACACCAGGTGGTACAGCTTCAATGGGCAAGGTTTAGTTACAACAGCCCTTAGTGTCACACCAGGTGGTACAGCTTCAATGGGCAAGGTTTAGTTACAACAGCCCTTAGTGTCACACCAGGTGGGTACAGCTTCAATGGGCAAGGTTTAGTTACAGCAGCCCTTAGTGTCACACCAGGTGGTACAGCTTCAATGGGCAAGGTTTAGTTACAACAGCCCTTAGTGTCACACCAGGTGGTACAGCTTCAATGGGCAAGGTTTAGTTACAACAGCCCTTAGTGTCACACCAGGTGGTACAGCTTCAATGGGCAAGGTTTAGTTACAACAGCCCTTAGTGTCACACCAGGTGGTACAGCTTCAATGGGCAAGGTTTAGTTACAACAGCCCTTAGTGTCACACCAGGTGGTACAGCTTCAATGGGCAAGGTTTAGTTACAACAGCCCTTAGTGTCACACCAGGTGGTACAGCTTCAATGGGCAAGGTTTAGTTACAACAGCCCTTAGTGTCACACCAGGTGGTACAGCTTCAATGGGCAAGGTTTAGTTACAACAGCCCTTAGTGTCACACCAGGTGGTACAGCTTCAATGGGCAAGGTTTAGTTACAACAGCCCTTAGTGTCACACCAGGTGGTACAGCTTCAATGGGCAAGGTTTAGTTACAACAGCCCTTGAGTGTCACACCAGGTGGTACAGCTTCAATGGGCAAGGTTTAGTTACAACAGCCCTTAGTGTCACACCAGGTGGTACAGCTTCAATGGGCAAGGTTTAGTTACAACAGCCCTTAGTGTCACACCAGGTGGTACAGCTTCAATGGGCAAGGTTTAGTTACAACAGCCCTTAGTGTCACACCAGGTGGTACAGCTTCAATGGGCAAGGTTTAGTTACAACAGCCCTTAGTGTCACACCAGGTGGTACAGCTTCAATGGGCAAGGTTTAGTTACAACAGCCCTTAGTGTCACACCAGGTGGTACAGCTTCAATGGGCAAGGTTTAGTTACAACAGCCCTTAGTGTCACACCAGGTGGTACAGCTTCAATGGGCAAGGTTTAGTTACAACAGCCCTTAGTGTCACACCAGGTGGTACAGCTTCAATGGGCAAGGTTTAGTTACAACAGCCCTTAGTGTCACACCACCAGGTGGTACAGCTTCAATGGGGCAAGGTTTAGTTACAACAGCCCTTAGTGTCACACCAGGTGGTACAGCTTCAATGGGCAAGGTTTAGTTACAACAGCCCTTAGTGTCACACCAGGTGGTACAGCTTCAATGGGCAAGGTTTAGTTACAACAGCCCTTAGTGTCACACCAGGTGGTACAGCTTCAATGGGCAAGGTTTAGTTACAACAGCCCTTAGTGTCACACCAGGTGGTACAGCTTCAATGGGCAAGGTTTAGTTACAACAGCCCTTAGTGTCACACCAGGTGGTACAGCTTCAATGGGCAAGGTTTAGTTACAACAGCCCTTAGTGTCACACCAGGTGGTACAGCTTCAATGGGCAAGGTTTAGTTACAACAGCCCTTAGTGTCACACCAGGTGGTACAGCTTCAATGGGCAAGGTTTAGTTACAACAGCCCCCTTAGTGTCACACCAGGTGGTACAGCTTCAATGGGCAAGGTTTAGTTACAACAGCCCTTAGTGTCACACCAGGTGGTACAGCTTCAATGGGCAAGGTTTAGTTACAACAGCCCTTAGTGTCACACCAGGTGGTACAGCTTCAATGGGCAAGGTTTAGTTACAACAGCCCTTAGTGTCACACCAGGTGGTACAGCTTCAATGGGCAAGGTTTAGTTACAACAGCCCTTAGTGTCACACCAGGTGGTACAGCTTCAATGGGCAAGGTTTAGTTACAACAGCCCTTAGTGTCACACCAGGTGGTACAGCTTCAATGGGCAAGGTTTAGTTACAACAGCCCTTAGTGTCACACCAGGTGGTACAGGTGGTACAGCAATGGGCAAGGTTTAGTTACAACAGCCCTTAGTGTCACACCAGGTGGTACAGCTTCAATGGGCAAGGTTTAGTTACAACAGCCCTTAGTGTCACACCAGGTGGTACAGCTTCAATGGGCAAGGTTTAGTTACAACAGCCCTTAGTGTCACACCAGGTGGTACAGCTTCAATGGGCAAGGTTTAGTTACAACAGCCCTTAGTGTCACACCAGGTGGTACAGCTTCAATGGGCAAGGTTTAGTTACAACAGCCCTTAGTGTCACACCAGGTGGTACAGCTTCAATGGGCAAGGTTTAGTTACAACAGCCCTTAGTGTCACACCAGGTGGTACAGCTTCAATGGGCAAGGTTTAGTTACAACAGCCCTTAGTGTCACACCAGGTGGTACAGCTTCAATGGGCAAGGTTTAGTTACAACAGCCCTTAGTGTCACACCAGGTGGTACAGCTTCAATGGGCAAGGTTTAGTTACAACAGCCCTTAGTGTCACACCAGGTGGTACAGCTTCAATGGGCAAGGTTTAGTTACAACAGCCCTTAGTGTCACACCAGGTGGTACAGCTTCAATGGGCAAGGTTTAGTTACAACAGCCCTTAGTGTCACACCAGGTGGTACAGCTTCAATGGGCAAGGTTTAGTTACAACAGCCCTTAGTGTCACACCAGGTGGTACAGCTTCAATGGGCAAGGTTTAGTTACAACAGCCCTTAGTGTCACACCAGGTGGTACAGCTTCAATGGGCAAGGTTTAGTTACAACAGCCCTTAGTGTCACACCAGGTGGTACAGCTTCAATGGGCAAGGTTTAGTTACAACAGCCCTTAGTGTCACACCAGGTGGTACAGCTTCAACGGGCAAGGTTTAGTTACAACAGCCCTTAGTGTCACACCAGGTGGTACAGCTTCAATGGGCAAGGTTTAGTTACAACAGCCCTTAGTGTCACACCAGGTGGTACAGCTTCAATGGGCAAGGTTTAGTTACAACAGCCCTTAGTGTCACACCAGGTGGTACAGCTTCAATGGGCAAGGTTTAGTTACAACAGCCCTTAGTGTCACACCAGGTGGTACAGCTTCAACGGGCAAGGTTTAGTTACAACAGCCCTTAGTGTCACACCAGGTGGTACAGCTTCAATGGGCAAGGTTTTGTTACAACAGCCCTTAGTGTCACACTGTGCTAATGTTATAACAGTGTGTGGTGTGACACTGATAATGTTATAACATTGCTTAGTGTCATGCTGATGTTATAACAGCGCTTGGAGTTATACCTCTTCATGTGTTACTGATCTGAACATAAGGCCTAACTCCCTAACTAAGACTTCAGGTTTTCAGTTGTATTTTCTCTGTTGTCAGACTGATACTTTGATTCATTATATTTGACAATAGAGAAAGCTACAGAGAGACGTGACACAATGTTGTTTAGCTTTTGTTTACTGTGTGTTCACCTTTACTCCCATTGCCACGGAGATGGCACCTTTCCGCCGTAGATGGTTCCAACTGAGGTCCAGTTCTTTGAGTGAAGTATTCTCGGAGATCGCCGGCCCCAGCGCAATACCAGCACTCTCACCAAAGTTATTATGACTAAGGTTTAAATATTCTATTTTTGTTGCACTCTGCAATGGAATACAAAATATTGTACAAAAAACAGAACTATTTGAATGGTTCTTCTCTTATAAGGGTTAATATGTAGCCACAATAATACTAATACTCTTGTACATAATAATCTTGTACTTCATAGCCTTGTTTATCAGTGTTTCTGATCAGCCGTTCAGACATGATGATTATTGTTGTACAAAACTCACCAGCAAAGCATCAGCAAAATATCCAGCAGCTTTGTCGTCAAATTCATTTCCTGAAAAAATATATACTTAGATTTACTCTCTACTGATGATTAGATATTGATAGTCTATTATGAAACCTTGATTGTACTTTAGGATTTGGGTAATCTGACCATGGACAAAAGCAGATGCCTTCTGTCATTCACATGCTCATTACAACAAAAATAACAAATGTATGTCATAAAGAAGGTAAATAAACCTTGGACCTAGACAGTTTCTGTATTGTGTTTGGTAAGTAAATATATCACTCTAATGACTACAATATGGAGGGTCATGTTGTGCTGCATGTTGGAGAGAAATAAACATCTGTGATGAGGTACTGACTAGGGGTGACTATTGAGGGGGAAACAACTATTGCGATAGCGATAGTCTATTGTTGTTTTTTGCGCTGCACATTTATCAACAGAAGTCAATTACTAAACTATCGATAGGCACACACACTATCAATGTATCAATAGTTTTTCGTTTCTACCATCAATTAATTGCTATCGGAGACCCAACAATTGCAATCCATGAATAGTTTGATGCATCATTACAGCCCTAGTTTTGACATACTCTTTGGCCAAAAATCTGTGATGGTCCGGGTTAGAATGTTGATCACTGGATTGTCTGGTCCAGACTCGATTATTTACAGACCGCCACCATATAGCTGGAATATTGCTGAGTGCAGCGTAAACCTAAACTCACTCACTCACTTTAGCCAAAATCAGGACTGAAAATCTGTGTCTCACCCTGTAGACTAGTCCCTAATGTTGTTGCCTGTATATAGATCCACTAACCTGCTAGTGTCACCCTGTAGACTAGTCCCTAATGTTGTTGCCTGTATATAGATCCACTAACCTGCTCGTGTCACCCTGTAGACTAGTCCCTAATGTTGTTGCCTGTATATAGATCCACTAACCTGCTAGTGTCACCCTGTAGACTAGTCCCTAATGTTGTTGCCTGTATATAGATCCACTAACTTGCTAGTGTCACCCTGTAGACGAGTCCCTAATGTTGTTGCCTGTATATAGATCCACTAACCTGCTAGTGTCACCCTGTAGACTAGTCCCTAATGTTGTTGCCTGTATATAGATCCACTAACCTGCTAGTGTCACCCTGTAGACTAGTCCCTAATGTTGTTGCCTGTATATAGATCCACTGACCTGCTAGTGTCACCCTGTAGACTAGTCCCTAATGTTGTTGCCTGTATATAGATCCACTAACCTGCTAGTGTCACCCTGTAGAGTAGTCCCTAATGTTGTTGCCTGTATATAGATCCGCTAACCTGCTAGTGTCACCCTGTAGACTAGTCCCTAATGTTGTTGCCTTTATATAGATCCACTAACCTGCTAGTGTCACCCTGTAGACTAGTCCCTAATGTTGTTCCCTGTATATAGATCCACTAACCTGCTAGTGTCACCCTGTAGACTAGTCCCTAATGTTGTTGCCTGTATATAGATCCACTGACCTGTTAGTGTGACCCTGTAGAATAGTCCCTAATGTTGTTGCCTGTATATAGATCCACTGACCTGCTAGTGTCACCCTGTAGACTAGTCCCTAATGTTGTTCCCTGTATATAGATCCACTGACCTGCTCGTGTCACCCTGTAGACTAGTCCCTAATGTTGTTCCCTGTATATAGATCCACTGACCTGCTAGTGTCACCCTGTAGACTAGTCCCTAATGTTCTTGCCTGTATATAGATCCACTGACCTGCTAGTGTCACCCTGTAGACTAGTCCCTAATGTTGTTGCCTGTATATAGATCCACTAACCTGCTAGTGTCACCCTGTAGACTAGTCCCTAATGTTGTTGCCTGTATATAGATCCACTAACCTGCTCGTGTCACCCTGTAGACTAGTCCCTAATGTTGTTGCCTGTATATAGATCCACTAACCTGCTAGTGTCACCCTGTAGACTAGTCCCTAATGTTGTTGCCTGTATATAGATCCACTAACCTGCTAGTGTCACCCTGTAGACTAGTCCCTAATGTTGTTGCCTGTATATAGATCCACTAACCTGCTAGTGTCACCCTGTAGACTAGTCCCTAATGTTGTTGCCTGTATATAGATCCACTAACTTGCTAGTGTCACCCTGTAGACTAGTCCCTAATGTTGTTGCCTGTATATAGATCCACTAACCTGCTAGTGTCACCCTGTAGACTAGTCCCTAATGTTGTTGCCTGTATATAGATCCACTAACCTGCTAGTGTCACCCTGTAGACTAGTCCCTAATGTTGTTGCCTGTATATAGATCCACTAACCTGCTAGTGTCACCCTGTAGACTAGTCCCTAATGTTGTTGCCTGTATATAGATCCACTAACCTGCTAGTGTCACCCTGTAGACTAGTCCCTAATGTTGTTGCCTGTATATAGATCCACTAACCTGCTAGTGTCACCCTGTAGACTAGTCCCTAATGTTGTTGCCTGTATATAGATCCACTAACTTGCTAGTGTCACCCTGTAGACTAGTCCCTAATGTTGTTGCCTGTATATAGATCCACTAACCTGCTAGTGTCACCCTGTAGACTAGTCCCTAATGTTGTTGCCTGTATATAGATCCACTAACCTGCTAGTGTCACCCTGTAGACTAGTCCCTAATGTTGTTGCCTGTATATAGATCCACTGACCTGCTAGTGTCACCCTGTAGACTAGTCCCTAATGTTGTTGCCTGTATATAGATCCACTAACCTGCTAGTGTCACCCTGTAGACTAGTCCCTAATGTTGTTGCCTGTATATAGATCCACTAACCTGCTAGTGTCACCCTGTAGACTAGTCCCTAATGTTGTTGCCTGTATATAGATCCACTGACCTGCTAGTGTCACCCTGTAGACTAGTCCCTAATGTTGTTGCCTGTATATAGATCCACTAACCTGCTAGTGTCACCCTGTAGAGTAGTCCCTAATGTTGTTGCCTGTATATAGATCCGCTAACCTGCTAGTGTCACCCTGTAGACTAGTCCCTAATGTTGTTGCCTTATATAGATCCACTAACCTGCTAGTGTCACCCTGTAGACTAGTCCCTAATGTTGTTCCCTGTATATAGATCCACTAACCTGCTAGTGTCACCCTGTAGACTAGTCCCTAATGTTGTTGCCTGTATATAGATCCACTGACCTGTTAGTGTGACCCTGTAGAATAGTCCCTAATGTTGTTGCCTGTATATAGATCCACTGACCTGCTAGTGTCACCCTGTAGACTAGTCCCTAATGTTGTTCCCTGTATATAGATCCACTGACCTGCTCGTGTCACCCTGTAGACTAGTCCCTAATGTTGTTCCCTGTATATAGATCCACTGACCTGCTAGTGTCACCCTGTAGACTAGTCCCTAATGTTCTTGCCTGTATATAGATCCACTGACCTGCTAGTGTCACCCTGTAGACTAGTCCCTAATGTTGTTGCCTGTATATAGATCCACTAACCTGCTAGTGTCACCCTGTAGACTAGTCCCTAATGTTGTTGCCTGTATATAGATCCACTAACCTGCTAGTGTCACCCTGTAGACTAGTCCCTAATGTTGTTGCCTGTATATAGATCCACTAACTTGCTAGTGTCACCCTGTAGACTAGTCCCTAATGTTGTTGCCTGTATATAGATCCACTAACCTGCTAGTGTCACCCTGTAGACTAGTCCCTAATGTTGTTGCCTGTATATAGATCCACTAACCTGCTAGTGTCACCCTGTAGACTAGTCCCTAATGTTGTTGCCTGTATATAGATCCACTGACCTGCTAGTGTCACCCTGTACACTAGTCCCTAATGTTGTTGCCTGTATATAGATCCACTAACCTGCTAGTGTCACCCTGTAGACTAGTCCCTAATGTTGTTGCCTGTATATAGATCCACTAACCTGCTAGTGTCACCCTGTAGACTAGTCCCTAATGTTGTTGCCTGTATATAGATCCACTGACCTGCTAGTGTCACCCTGTAGACTAGTCCCTAATGTTGTTGCCTGTATATAGATCCACTAACCTGCTAGTGTCACCCTGTAGAGTAGTCCCTAATGTTGTTGCCTGTATATAGATCCGCTAACCTGCTAGTGTCACCCTGTAGACTAGTCCCTAATGTTGTTGCCTTTATATAGATCCACTAACCTGCTAGTGTCACCCTGTAGACTAGTCCCTAATGTTGTTCCCTGTATATAGATCCACTAACCTGCTAGTGTCACCCTGTAGACTAGTCCCTAATGTTGTTGCCTGTATATAGATCCAATGACCTGCTAGTGTCACCCTGTAGAATAGTCCCTAATGTTGTTGCCTGTATATAGATCCGCTAACCTGCTAGTGTCACCCTGTAGACTAGTCCCTAATGTTGTTGTCTGTATATAGATCCACTAACCTGCTAGTGTCACCCTGTAGACTAGTCCCTAATGTTGTTGCCTGTATATAGATCCACTAACCTGCTAGTGTCACCCTGTAGACTAGTCCCTAATGTTGTTGCCTGTATATAGATCCACTAACCTGCTAGTGTCACCCTGTAGACTAGTCCCTAATGTTGTTGCCTGTATATAGATCCACTAACCTGCTAGTGTCACCCTGTAGACTAGTCCCTAATGTTGTTGCCTGTATATAGATCCACTAACCTGCTAGTGTCACCCTGTAGACTAGTCCCTAATGTTGTTGCCTGTATATAGATCCACTAACCTGCTAGTGTCACCCTGTAGACTAGTCCCTAATGTTGTTGCCTGTATATAGATCCACTAACCTGCTAGTGTCACCCTGTAGACTAGTCCCTAATGTTGTTGCCTGTATATAGATCCACTAACCTGCTAGTGTCACCCTGTAGACTAGTCCCTAATGTTGTTGCCTGTATATAGATCCACTGACCTGCTAGTGTCACCCTGTAGACTAGTCCCTAATGTTGTTGCCTGTATATAGATCCACTAACCTGCTAGTGTCACCCTGTAGAGTAGTCCCTAATGTTGTTGCCTGTATATAGATCCGCTAACCTGCTAGTGTCACCCTGTAGACTAGTCCCTAATGTTGTTGCCTGTATATAGATCCACTGACCTGCTAGTGTCACCCTGTAGACTAGTCCCTAATGTTGTTGCCTGTATATAGATCCACTAACCTGCTAGTGTCACCCTGTAGACTAGTCCCTAATGTTGTTGCCTGTATATAGATCCACTGACCTGCTAGTGTCACCCTGTAGACTAGTCCCTAATGTTGTTGCCTGTATATAGATCCACTAACCTGCTAGTGTCACCCTGTAGAGTAGTCCCTAATGTTGTTGCCTGTATATAGATCCGCTAACCTGCTAGTGTCACCCTGTAGACTAGTCCCTAATGTTGTTGCCTGTATATAGATCCACTGACCTGCTAGTGTCACCCTGTAGACTAGTCCCTAATGTTGTTGCCTGTATATAGATCCACTAACCTGCTAGTGTCACCCTGCGTAATGTGTCGTTCTGGGTAAGGATCTGACTTAGAGCCTCAGCAACCGCTGTCCCCAGCCGATTGTCAGATAGGTCCTGCAAGTACAACATGTACATCAACCAAGTCACATATTACTGTATTTCCTCTAATAAGCGCCAAGACTTCCAGACCCAGCGCTTCTTAGAGGCTTCTTATTGCTCTTACTGGGTGTACCGTAATTAATTGAGAGTTACGTCAAAGTTAGGGACCATTCCTTAATTAATCTTTTATTGGATCAAGGGAGAAAGAATACAGGCATAAAAAAGCCGCTTATTTCTTAAACTGCTGCTTTTCCCTAGCGCTTATTGGAGGCCCAGCGCTTATACGAGGTACTACATATTTTAATGTTACAATACAATACAATACATTGTGAGAGTTGTTTAACATACACTTTAAACAGAGTTACACAAGATACAAACCAGTACTGGAGTTGTCTCCCTTATAGCACATATTACACTTAATGCAAGCTTACATTGAAAGACAAAACATATGACATGAGTTCCCTACTTACAAAATCAACAAACAAATTTTGTTATTTAAATGCTTATGAATCAATTTCAGTTTCATTAGCATCAATTTCTCCTTGTTGGAGAAATACATGTTGATGTCTCCCATACACGCAACATTTATCCATGACTCACCCATCCCTCATATAATGAATGAACAGTATCTAAACAATGTTCACATTATTAAATGTTTGTATTTGAAAATAGAACAGTGTAAGTTTTTATGGCTCACCCATGTTGGTATTCCCCCTCTTTCCCTGTGTTATATTTTCTTGATATCCCCCACATGACCAGTGTCTAAAGGTACAAATATCTCCAGCTGGCAGCTTTATGATGATATCCCCCACATGACCAGTCTCTAAAGGCACAAATATCTCCAGCTGGCAGCTTTATGATGATATCCCCCACATGACCAGTGTCTAAAGGTACAAATATCTCCAGCTGGCAGCTTTATGATGATATCCCCACATGACCAGTGTCTAAAGGTACAAATATCTCCAGCTGGCAGCTTTATGATATCCCCACATGATATCTCCCTGGCACTTTATGACCCCAGTGACCAGTCTCTAAAGGTACAAATATCTCCAGCTGGCAGCTTTATGATGATATCCCCACATGACCAGTGTCTAAAGGTACAAATATCTCCAGCTGGCAGCTTTATGATGATATCCCCCACATGACCAGTCTCTAAAGGTACAAATATCTCCAGCTGGCAGCTTTATGATGATATCCCCCACATGACCAGTGTCTAAAGGTACAAATATCTCCAGCTGGCAGCTTTATGATGATATCCCCACAGCATGACCAGTCTCTAAAGGTACAAATATCTCCAGCTGGCAGCTTTATGATGATATCCCCACATGACCAGTCTCTAAAGGTACAAATATCTCCAGCTGGCAGCTTTATCTCCATGATGATATCCCCACATGACCAGTCTCTAAAGGTACAAATATCTCCAGCTGGCAGCTTTATGATGATATCCCCCACATGACCAGTGTCTAAAGGTACAAATATCTCCAGCTGGCAGCTTTATGATGATATCCCCCACATGACCAGTCTCTAAAGGTACAAATATCTCCAGCTGGCAGCTTTATGATGATATCCCCCACATGACCAGTCTCTAAAGGTACAAATATCTCCAGCTGGCAGCTGGCATATCCCCACATGCTCTCTATGATGATATCCCCACATGACCAGTCTCTAAAGGTACAAATATCTCCAGCTGGCAGCTTTATGATGATATCCCCACATGACCAGTCTCTAAAGGTACAAATATCTCCAGCTGGCAGCTGATGATATCCCCATGATATCCCCACATGACCCCAGTGTCTAAAGGTACAAATATCTCCAGCTGGCAGCTTTATGATGATATCCCCCATATGACCAGTCTCTAAAGGTACAAATATCTCCAGCTGGCAGCTTTATGATGATATCCCCCACATGACCAGTGTCTAAAGGTACAAATATCTCCAGCTGGCAGCTTTATGATGATATCCCCCACATGACCAGTGTCTAAAGGTACAAATATCTCCAGCTGGCAGCTTTATGATGATATCCCCCATATGACCAGTCTCTAAAGGTACAAATATCTCCAGCTGGCAGCTTTATGATGATATCCCCCACATGACCAGTGTCTAAAGGCACAAATATCTCCAGCTGGCAGCTTTATGATGATATCCCCCACATGACCAGTGTCTAAAGGTACAAATATCTCCAGCTGGCAGCTTTATGATGATACTTACAATCTCTGTAATGAAGCAGTTCTCTTTGAGCATGTCACAGATTGCATATCCTCCTGTGGACCCCAGCCAGTTGTCTCGCAGGTTTAGGTTGAGGACGGTGGTGTTCGACTGGAGGACAGACAACTTACACAGTGTATCTAAACCAACCATTACTGTGTGTATCATTACAATGGCAGGAGCCTTTGTTGCAAATAACTTTTCAACCACTCTTAGTAAGTGGTGTGTAAGTGAAGGAATTAGGGAATGTGTGAAGGCTATTTAAAGCACTGTCAGCAAAATTTCAGCTATATCCCAAAGGCAGGTAGGTAACCAAGTCTGAACTGGTCAAGGCAGTGACGCTATTCTTATTCAATTCGAGGTTGAGGTCTGATGACTGGCCCAACAGCACGAGCAGCTGACCCCAGCATCTGGTCACGACACCACTAAGCTTATGAGCCATTCCTCTTTCATTGGCTTTCACCACAAAAAGGGACAAAAGGACCTATTCTATCATCTCATTAAAATTGAGTTATTTGCTCTGAATCGATGTATGTAGGTGCCACAAAAGACATAAAAAATATTCACAACACAGATATTATTCTCCATCCAGAACCTCCAGCCTACATGTATTTTTGCTACTCAGAATGTTTTGTTTACTCCTACCAATTATACTGCGGACTCCATGCTGATGGTGGATTAGAGAGTTTACTTGATGATACCAGTGATCTGGACAGGGAGAAGAGAGGAAGTAAATGGTGACAATGTCATAGGACTGCACAAGACCACTTGTCTGTGTGAGCTCACCACTAGAGCCATGGCGATGGCCTTCATCCCCTGGGCGCCGAGACCGTGGTGCTTCATCACCAGTTCCTTCTCCTGCATGTGTCGCAGGAAGTACGAGGCTGGGATGATGCCAAGCCGCTTGCAACACTCGATGTATGCCGTTTTACCTGTGTGGTCATATGATGTGGAGGATTCTGGGAAATAAAAGTCAATAAAACAGATATGATTGAATGTTATTGTACTCCAGTATGTGCATTATTGCATCCATATCAAAGCATTATTGCTGGTAAATCACTGCATTATTGCATCCATATCAAAGCATTTTTGCTGGTAAATCACTGCATTATTGCAGATCTATATCAAAGCATTACTACTGGTAAATCACTGCATTATTGCAGATCTATATCAAAGCATTATTGCTGGTTAATCACGGCATTATTGCATCTATATCAAAGCATTATTGCTAGTAAATCACGGCATTATTGCAGATCTATATTAAAGTATTATTGCTGGTAAATCACTGCACTATTGCAGATCTATATCAAAGCATTACTGCTGCAAAATCACTGCATTATTGCATCTATATCAAAGCATTATTGCTGGTAAATCACTGCATTATCGCAGATCTATATCAAAGCATTACTGTTGGTAAATCACTGCATTATTGCAGATCTATATCAAAGCATTACTGCTGGTAAATCACAGCATTATTGCAGATCTATATCAAAGCATTATTGCTGGTAAATCACGGCATTATTGCAGATCTATATCAAAGCATTTTTGTTGATAAATCACGGCATTATTGCATCTATATCAAAGCATTATTGTTTGTAAATCACGACATTATTGCAGATCTTTATCAAAGCATTATTGCTGGTAAATCACTGCATTATTACATCTATATCAAAGCATTATTGCTGGTAAAAAACGGCATCATTGCATCTATATCACTGCATTATTGCAGCCTTATTACTGAATTATTTTATTTACAGCAATATCGAATCTAAACAAGACAAATTCGTGGTTCTTGGTATAAACAATATGAAATTATGTGACAATTTTAAGCAGCTTCATGATGTTGTGCATCCTGTCCTTATAGAAATACTCTGTTTCTGAAAGCAACCTGGTGGCTGTATGAATGTCCTACCTTCTCCTTCAAGGTCTGTGTCCCATGCCTTGTCATCATGGATGTCAACTGTCCGAAGCTCCATTTCCGAGTTAACATCACGGCCGTCTCCATCCTCCTCGCTCTCCGAACTGTGACCTCTGTCTTGGTTCCTGGAAGTCGCACTTCCCCTTCTTGACCGCCTGCTACTGGCACGGCTGATTGTCTGTAAAACAACACCTCACAGTGAATGGGCACATCAGACTGTCTGTGGAAAAGGCTGTTAAATGCACAATCAGCAAAATGTCAGCTATATCCCAATGGCCGGTATGTTTGGACATGGAAAAACAGTGCTTAACAGTGTGAGTAGCTAATTGTCTATGAAAGTGTTATCACCACAGTCTGCAGTTTCTGCACTATCATAGTGTAAAGAATCAAGTGTTATCACCACAGTCTGCACGGCTTCTGTACTATCATAGTGTATAAGAATCCAGTGTTATCACCACAGTCTGCAGTTTCTGCACTATCATAGTGTAAAGAATCAAGTGTTATCACCACAGTCTGCAGGGTTTCTGTACTATTACTGAAGCCTCTAAAGAAACAGGTGTTATCATTACAGTCTGCAGAGTTTCTGCACTATCATAGTGTAAAGAATCAAGTGTTATCACTGCAGTCTGCAGAGTTTCTGCACTATCATAGTGTAAAGAATCAAGTGTTATCACCACAGTCTGCTGAGTTTCTGCACTATCAAAGTGTAAAAAATCAAGTGTTATCACTGCAGTCTGCAGAGTTTCTGCACTATCATAGTGTAAAGAATCAAGTGTTATCACCACAGTCTGCAGAGTTTCTGCACTATCATAGTGTAAAGAATCAAGTGTTATCACCACAGTCTGCAGAGTTTCTGTACTATCATAGTGTAAAGAATCAAGTGTTATCACTGCAGTCTGCAGAGTTTCTGCATTATCATAGTGTAAAGAATCAAGTGTTATCACCACAGTCTGCAGAGTTTCTGCACTATCATAGTGTAAAGAATCAAGTGTTATCACCACAGTCTGCTGAGTTTCTGCACTATCAAAGTGTAAAAAATCAAGTGTTATCACTGCAGTGTGCTGAGTTTCTGCACTATCATAGTGTAAAGAATCAAGTGTTATCACTGCAGTCTGCAGAGTTTCTGCACTATCATAGTGTAAAAAATCAAGTGTTATCACTGCAGTCTGCAGAGTTTCTGCACTATCATAGTGTAAAGAATCAAGTGTTATCACCACAGTCTGCAGAGTTTCTGCACTATCATAGTGTAAAGAATCAAGTGTTATCACCACAGTCTGCAGAGTTTCTGCACTATCATAGTGTAAAGAATCAAGTGTTATCACCACAGTCTGCAGAGTCTCTGCACTATCATAGTGTAAAGAATCAAGTGTTATCACCACAGTCTGCAGGGTTTCTGCACTATCATAGTGTAAAGAATCAAGTGTTATCACCACAGTCTGCAGAGTTTCTGCACTATCATAGTGTAAAGAATCAAGTGTTATCACTGCAGTCTGCAGAGTTTCTGCACTATTATAGTGTAAAGAATCAAGTGTTATCACCACAGTCTGCAGAGTTTCTGCACTATCATAGTGTAAAGAATCAAGTGTTATCACCACAGTCTGCAGAGTTTCTGCACTATCATAGTGTAAAGAATCAAGTGTTATCACCACAGTCTGCAGAGTTTCTGCACTATCATAGTGTAAAGAATCAAGTGTTATCACCACAGTCTGCAGAGTCTCTGCACTATCATAGTGTAAAGAATCAAGTGTTATCACCACAGTCTGCAGGGTTTCTGCACTATCATAGTGTAAAGAATCAAGTGTTATCACCACAGTCTGCAGAGTTTCTGCACTATCATAGTGTAAAGAATCAAGTGTTATCACCACAGTCTGCAGAGTTTCTGCACTATCATAGTGTAAAGAATCAAGTGGTATTACTGCTGTCTGCAGAGTTTCTGCACTACACTGGGTTCTGTAAAGAGTGAGTGAGTATGATTTTAGGCCGCTTTCAGTATTATCCCAGCAATATCACAGCGGGGGACACCAGAAATGGGCGAAATCGAACCTGGGTCTTCAGTGTGATGAGCGGATGCTTTAACCACTACACTACCCCACCGCCCGGTTCTGTAAAGAATCAAGTGAAGTCCAGACACACCAGTAATTGATACAACATTCCAGTTGGGTACAATGGCCCGGTAAAGTTGTGAGAGTCAATAATGTAACGGCCACCCTTTGTGTTCAATGTTTATGTTGAATACTTAATGTAGTCAGTCCTCTATTACACAGCCAGACCTAACAGACAGGCAGATATGGAGAACCATTTCATGGGTGTCAACTGGTATTCTTAGCAACAAATATACTGTTATCAGGCACTGGTTTTAGATGCACAATATGTTTCATTGAAAGGAAGGGACAAATAAGTACAACAAACAATTATTTTCTTCTTGTGAAACCTTGGAGAAAAATCCATGTGTCAATATTTTTAGAAGAATAAACTTCAGATGCTCATCGTGTGATGAACTGGGCAATATCCACCATATCAGTAATAACTGGGAGCATGTCCACGGGGACATTATCATCAGCAAGTAATGATAGTAACTAACAAGCTTGACTTAGAAACCCCTCAAGGGTCTTACACCTGACAGGTGTAACTACAAAAACTATGAAAAGTAATTACATCTTAAAGTCCTGCATAGGTCGTTGATATATCTGAACATGTGCTTCATGACGTTATTTCACCTGTCACCTGAGACTCTCTGATTATTCATTTGCAAATAACTCATGCACTCCAAGGCCAGCGTACATCAGTTAACTTTGTCTGCACTCCAGTAATTGTTGTTTAAATACACACAAGTCTCTCTAGAATGTCTCAGATTACAAGATAGAACATCAGCTGCTGGCAAATGTCGGGACAAGCCTCTTCAAATTCCACATATCTAGTCGACTGTCTGTAATTCGAGACGTGTTGATTCACTAAGACATGTCTTCTCCTCAACCTGTTGTGTGTTTTACACCCCTGACACTCCAACAGATATCTGTACTGCCAATAGGTGTATCCCATTTTCCACAGTAGAGTATTGTAGGAGTAGATATTTCACACATCAGTCCCTATTATTTTCTCTTCTGCAATATTATGCCAGAGACCATAATATGATTATGCAAAAGCCCTAAATGAAGCAAGTCTAGATTATCCTCAAGTCCTGAACCTCCCATGTTTCTGGGGCTCCTCTTCAATGCAAGTGGAGTTTTTGTTCCTTTCGAAAAGATGTATTTTCAAAGGCTAAGCATTAACCTATGTTAAACGTGGCACTGCTAGGTCCAGAATGGTATCCACCTTGACACATCTGAGACACCATGTGTCAAGTCATATCATCATCATCGTTGTCGTCATCATCATCATCATCATCATCATCATCACCATCATCATCATCAGCAGCATTACTTCATTACTTGGGTTTACAAAAGGGTTGTCACAAAACACACATAAGTTTTACTACTTGCATTAAATGTGTCCAAATTTTCCATACACATATATATTGTTAGGGTAGATATTTCACAAATCAGGTAGATGTGGTCTGTCACTCAGTCCCTCAACCATATTATTTCCTCTTCTGCAATATTATGCCAGAGACCTATTCTATGATCTCTGATAATGCAACAGCCTGCACCCTGTGTCAAGTCATCAGTGTCTCTATAACATCATCATCATTATCATCATCATCATGGGGTTTACAAACACAAGTTTTCTGAAAATATTGGTGGCCTTGTTTCACAGACTTCCTCATGAAGAAAGTTTTCCCACTAATCTACTCTCACAACTCCTTGCCAACTTGAAATAACACAAAATACATATAGAATCTATCAAGCAACACAAATCTGCTTTATATTTCAACTGACCCTACCTAAGGTGACATGGACAAATCTGTGAACATGAACATCCTCCATGTGCCACCCTAACTATAGTGTGGCTCGGCAAGTAGTATCCTGATCTGTGTCTACAGACTCACCTGCCATGACAACTTGGGCCCTGGTGCAGTCAGCCTCTCTAACACAGGTTTCACTCCACACTTGCAAGGAAAAAGTCAACTTTCCAAGACAACACTTTTAGGTAAATGAAACAGTCACCATGTCATGTTTAGCCCGGTTGTGTTGTTCATCAACAACTAATCCACCGCTACCATATATACAAGAAACCACACACCTGTACATATATACACAAAGACCATGTAACTATGTCACTGTCAAAATTTAAATAACGAATCTTTTCAGTTTCAGTGAACTCCTAATGATATGAATCTACTAATATCAACATACTTTAATGACTACACACTGACATTGTCAAATATTACCGGCATATTACCGGGAAGTATCAAATCAATATATTTAACTGCAGACACAGTAATTCATGCCAGATGAAGTTTGTACAAATCGTGAGTCAGTTCTCCAGTAAAGACAGATAAACTCTTAACCAAGTCTAACTGTTACACACACCATCACACATCCAATAAATGAAATACTAAGTGTATACAACTGTTTAGACAGCACAACACTGGCTTTAACCTTCAAATGAAACTGATTAATCATACATTACAGCTCCGAAAGTACGAATCCATATCGCGTCTGAGAACCAAATGCACCCCAATATTAAACTAGCAGACTGACCCATGTTTGATCACTTAGCTCACTTGATATTGGATCACTGAGCTGACTTTATACTGGTTATGGCCAATTGATCTCTGGACAAAAAGCTTTCCTCTTCAGTAGACAGCCAACAAAACCTTCTCTCCCTCTGTTCCAGAAACCCACTTAATTACTAAGCCCCTCACTGAAAGGTATAAGCCTGGAGAATTATGTCTTGTGTTAATGTGAGATAAAAGGGGGAGTATGAATCACTGAGACTGATCCAATTTGTTTCGTCCAGATTAATGATTCTTAGATCTGTCAGGTGTGACATGCATCACACTTCTGAGTGAGTGAGTGAGTGAGTCAATCAGTCAGTGTGAGTCCCTGGTATTTTATGCTGCAGTCACAGATAATCCAGCTATATCACAGCTGCCGGGAAATAATAGTCTAGACCAGTCAAACAAGTGACTGAAAACAAGAACAACAACATCACCCACGGGGTGGTGGACACGCAACTAGCCACAGATCATGAACAATGATTCTTAATGAGACACAGATCATGAATAATGATGCTCAATCAGACAGATCATAAACAATGATCCTTAATCAGACAGATCATGAACAATGATCCTTAATAAGACACAGATCATGAACAATGATTCTTAATGAGACATGATTAATGATGCTTAATCAGACAGATCATGAACAATGATCCTTAATCAGACATAGATCATGATCAATGATTCTTAATGAGACACAGATCATGAAGAATGATCCTCAATCAGACACAACTAATGAACATTGATGCTTAATGAGACACAGATCATGAACAATGATCCTTAATCAGACACAACTAATGAACATTGATGCTTAATGAGACACAGATCATGAAGAATGATCCTCAATCAGACACAACTAATGAACATTGATGCTTAATGAGACACAGATCATGAACAATGATCCTTAATCAGGCACAACTAATGAACAATGATCCTTAATAAGGGTGAGTGAGTGAGTGACTTTAGTTTTACGCTGCTTTTAGCAATATTCCAGCAATATCACGGCAGATGACACCAGAAATGGGCTGCACACATTGGACCTCCTTAATAAGGCCCAGATCATGAACAATTGTCTTTAATCAGCCACAAAAGTCGCAAAATATAATGTGTGTAATAACACTATTGCTGAACTAGTCTGTTCCATGTGAATATAATGTGTGTAATAACACTATTGCTGAACTAGTCTGTTCCACATGAACATAATGTGTGTAATAACACTATTGCTGAACTAGTCTGTTCCACATGAACATAATGTGTGTAATAACACTATTGCTGAACTAGTCTGTTCCACGTGAATATAATGTGTGTAATAACACTATTGCTGAATTAGTCTGTTCCACATGAACATAATGTGTGTAATAACACTATTGCTGAACTAGTCTGTTCCACATGAACTTAATGTGTGTAATAACACTATTGCTGAACTAGTCTGTTCCATGTGAATATAATGTGTGTAATAACACTATTGCTGAACTAGTCTGTTCCACGTGAACATAACATGTGTAATAACACTATTGCTGAACTAGTCTGTTCCACATGAACATAATGTGTGTAATAACACTATTGCTGAACTAGTCTGTTCCACGTGAATATAATGTGTGTAATAACACTATTGCTGAATTAGTCTGTTCCACATGAACATAATGTGTGTAATAACACTATTGCTGAACTAGTCTGTTCCACATGAACATAATGTGTGTAATAACACTATTGCTGAACTAGTCTGTTCCACATGAACATAATGTGTGTAATAACACTATTGCTGAACTAGTCTGTTCCACGTGAATATAATGTGTGTAACAACACTATTGCTGAATTAGTCTGTTCCACATGAACATAATGTGTGTAATAACACCATTGCTGAACTAATCTGTTCCACATGAACATAATGTGTGTAATAACACTATTGCTGAACTAGTCTGTTCCACATGAACATAATGTGTGTAATAACACTATTGCTGAACTAGTCTGTTCCACATGAACATAATGTGTGTAATAACACTATTGCTGAACTAGTCTGTTCCACATGAACATAATGTGTGTAATAACACTATTGCTGAATTAGTCTGTTCCACGTGAACATAATGTGTGTAATAACACTATTGCTGAACTAGTCTGTTCCACATGAACATAATGTGTGTAATAACACCATTGCTGAACTAGTCTGTTCTATGTGAACATAATGTGTGTAATAACACTATTGCTGAACTAGTCTGTTCCACGTGAATATTATGTGTGTAATAACACTATTGCTGAACTAGTCTGTTCCACGTGAATATAATGCGTAAATATGTATTCTGAGTCAACTGTAGAAGAATGGTTTCAACAATATTTACCATCATGCATCATTACAAGGAAGATCAAGTGTGTTTATATACAAAGTAAAATATCTGAAAATATATACAAACACATATTTGATACATGTAAACCAAGCATACATCTGTAAACATAACATTAATAAAGAGCTATATTAAGTATGCTTACCCTTCTTGGACTGGGGGGACTTAAAGTTGCCAACATGATGTCAGTGAAATTCTTTTATGTGGTCTTGCCAGTGAGAAGGTATTCCAAGTCAGTGAAATGATTCACTCTATCTTACTGTGTCCTTGCAGAATGATTTGCCAACTAATCAAATCTAATAATTCACTCTCTCGGTGGGCTTAACACAATTTCAGTTCCGGATATTTTAACCATCATTCACTTTCTTCACTTCATACGTTCTTATCCACAGTCCTCATTTCAAGCATGGGATTTAATCTATCTAGATTCACGGTGAAATTCATGAATATTCATCTGCTTCAAAATGTGATTCCTAATATCAGTAAAGACATGCGTACCACTCAGTGTCGTATTTACATCCGTAGAGCATGAGATTCCTTCACCAATGAATAAATCAGCCACACAACTTGTCTACAAACACAGTCGATACCACCTCCATGAAGCTACCACACTAAATCAGGAAATTCTCTTCAACAAAATTCAAACAAAACATTTAAAAGAGTTCCCCTCTTTAAATACAGAGAGTATTTTCGAGAGTGTCATGAGAGTTTTGATGACTCCTCCCTTCCACGCTACAGTGTCAGATATAGGTGTACTTCCTATCAGTGAGGTACGTAATCTGGCTGATCATGGTAACGGCAGACCCCAGTGTTAATCAATCCGCTGTCATGTCGGGGTAAGTCCCTTTGTGGGCCAAACATTCCTCTCAACACACACACTGTCCCTAGTCACAGCAAAGCTGCTTGCACTATACCACAGCTGTAACAAACTGCTGTAAAATATCTTCAGGTGGTTTGTTAACAGGAAACCTATGCAGGCATGTATGTTGATAATGTACACTGTCAGTATATAATTCTTTGTGTTTAAGTAACCTGTATAGATGTTATTCATGTATATATAAGTCAGTATAAGTTTAACATGAGTATATATACAAGTTTTCCTGAATAACGTCCGTAGATACAAGTTCTAATGAGTAACTTGAATACATATAGAAGTTTTAATGAGTAGCTTGTACACATGTACAACTTTTCTTCAATAAAATTTAGAGGTGAAACAGTATGCTCTTACCACTGTACGGTACGTATTGCGGTACAAGGCCTTCGGTTAGGTCCGTTTCGGTTCGGAATGTGAGATACGATCATAATGCAGAAAACTGACAACAAGAGCCAAACCTTACATTGTTTAATAACATCGAAAACAATAACCATAATCTTTGTTATTTTGAATGAACTGTCAATTTATGACTTGACAGAAATGATGGTACGTAAACACCGAATTTTTGGTTTGCATTATGATATACCGAACTGAAGGCAAAATACTGCAGTCCTACTCATACTGCGGGTATACCGTGTCTACTGTGTCTACTCTAGTAAAATGTGTACACATACAAGTTTTACTTGGTAATCTGTGTATATAAACAAGTATTTTCTTAATAACCTGTGTATACACACGTTTCTCCTAGTATTGTCAGGCCGAAGACCCAGGTTCTATTTCCCACATGGGTACAATATAAGTTGTTCACTGGTCTCGAGGGGGGACATGGCCTGATGTACCCTCGATGTTTGTTTATGTTCCCTGAGCCCAAAGGTCGAGGGGAACATAAAGAAACATCGAGTGTACATCAACCCATGCGCCCCGAGGGACCAGTGAACAACGTATTTATCTTACCGAACTCCTAAATGGTAATTTTGAACTGTTTCAAGCACAGGTATCAGATCATAGTATGGAATACCAGACTACAAGAAGACAAGAAAGATTTTTTTAGAGTTATCTCCCTTCCATCAATTTGCGTTCGCAAAACATTGGTAATTTCCGTACATCATACGTGATTCAATGTTATTCGAGATAAAGAATTACTACTACGAAGTACCAAATGAGTTCGGCATTCCCAGCAGGGTACATAGAAAATGTTACTCGCTTGTAAGTGGGGTACATTGAAAATAATAGGAGAGCGCTCAGCCAATCAGAAAACGACATTTATGTGTGAGGCAAGATAATATGTGAAACCCATTTCTTGTTTTCCCCTGCCGTGATATTGCTGGAATATTGCTAAAATCAGTGTAAAACTAACCTCACTCACTCACTCTATAGGTAACTTGTGTATATACAAGATTTCCTTATTATTTTCATTTTTTGCAGCATGTTCATTTGACAGGAGATAACCTGAAGAAAATGGGTATGGCTGACTTTCACTTTACAGACCAATTACCAGCATGTGTCTATATGAAAACAGGAATTATTCATTGATTATACTCAACCTCTTGTGGTTTATTCCAGTATTTAGTAGGGATTCATCACAAAATGAAAATGTCTCCCCTTCCCTTTGGTGACCCTTCTATTTTCTGCCACATATATAGAGGTGCTACTGATTCAGGTGTTGTACTTGCATACATCAGAATTACAGAAGGGCCCTCAGAGAATTCATCGACTCTGAGCTCTGAAAGGACTCTTTGAAAGGTAGCAAAGCACTTCCAGTTTATCAGAGTGTCATTACTTTATGAGTGAGTTTAGTTTTATGCCGCACTCGGCAATATTCCAGCTATAAGACAACGGTTGAGTCTGGACCAGACAATTCAGTGATCAACAGCATGACATCGATCTACGCAGTTGGGAAACAATGACATGTGTCAACCAGCCTGACCACCCGATTCCGTTAGTTGCCTCTTATGCCAAGCATGGGTTACTACATTCTCTTCCCACAGAGGTTACTTGTCATTTCTTCCTACGAACCTCTGTTCTAATACGGTCATATTTCCCGATTCTCGTAAAATCCCCTAGCGGAAAAAAATCGCAACACGAATTATCTCCCTTCTTTCTGTCCAATCAGAACACGTGTTACATCAACTTGACTAATTCAAGCAAATGTTGGGTCACAAATATCCCTCCTCTGCCAGGAACTTGTGTTGATGTGACACACAAGACATTTAATGGCTAGCTTGTCCGTTGTCAACGAGGGCGATGGAGACGCCATGTATCCGCCATTTGCATGACTGAGGTCTGTCTATAAGAAACGTTTGCGCATCGCGCAGGGAAATAGGTTCTAGTTTTCCCGAAACATACGGAAATAACCGAGGCCTTGCGAATGATCACTTTTGAAACAACGTCGCTGATTGCACAACTAAATCTAATTGCAACCAATCACGAATCCTGAACACTAGCACCATGAAAGGGTCGTATTAGAACAGAGGTTCGTAGGAAGATATGACAAGTAACCTCTGTGGGAAGAGAATGGGGTTACTGAAGATCAAATCTAACCCGGATCTTCACAGGTACATTCCTTGATGAAACAGTGTTGGTGGAGGTGGCCCAGCGTGGCAATAGTGATGACAGTGACAACTGTGAGTTAGTGAGTGAGTTTAGTTTTACACCACTTTTAGCAATATTCCAGCAGCATCATGGTGGGGGACACCAGAAATGGGCTTCACAAATTGTACCCTTGTGGGGAATCGAACTCGGGTCTTCAGCATGACAATTGGATGCTTTAACCATTGGGCTACCCCACCACCCTGTGCTTGCTGTGGAGGCAATACTTCTAGAACCATGCACTTGCTTATTCAGTGTCCATTCCATACACATAACTCAAATATTTACCGAGTTCTTTAGAATTCAACAAATATCACACCTCATTTGCATCATCATGTTACTTAAGTTTGAACCCGTGAAGGTCCAGGTTAGAATAAACCTTCAGCAACCCATGCTTGTCGTAAGAGGCGACTAACGGGATCGGGTGGTCAGGCTCACTGGCTTGGTTGACACATGTCATCGGTTCCCAATTGCGCAGATCGATGCTCATGCCGTTGATCACTGGATTGTCTGGTCCAGACTCGATTATTTACAGACCGCCGCCATATAGCTGGAATATTGTTGAGTGCAGAGTAAAACTAAACTCACTCACTCACTCAATTAAGTTTGGTTTCTAATAATTATGCACAAACAAAAACATCAAAGTTGAAGATGGTTTAAAGCTGTCTATTTAACATTATCCCAAACAACTGACTTCGTGTGACATAATCAATGATACAGATCAATTACCCATTCCTTAGCACTTTAACCGGAATATCATCACATGACCATCAGAAGGTTTAGTAGGGACTTTAAATATTCATGGATAATTAAGGACAATGGGATTTCTATCCTGTGGTGATGATAAGCACAAAACAATTAAAAGATAATGGCCAACACGCTTTCATCACATTCAGGGATGATCTTCTCAATCTACAAATAAAACAAATCATTACAAGATGTTCTGTGCAATGAGTTATGCTTGAAGACATCATGGTGAGCTGTGTTTGAATGTTGGTGTATAAATGGCTGTACTGCGGGGTTGTAGAGGATCGTTACTGACCGCGTCAAACTGTGCGTCATCAAGGGGCTCCAGGTATTGGGCCTGAGTCTGTAGCTCCCACATATATAATTAACAGATATCTAAATGTGAGACTGAGGATGACTGACTGGTCTGCACTAGGTGTACTGGAGCTATTACTCTGGCTGAGAGGGACTACCATCTACCGCCATCACCTTCTTCAATATGTATGACACAAATTAAAAGATGAGGAATGGAGCTAACCTCATGACCTACTGACAGACAAAACATACCACAGGAATTCAAAATTCTGACTAAAATATGGCCCTCTTGGAAATTATGGTGTGAGCTAGACATATTTTTGGTAGAGAATGGGGTGTCTGGTTGACAAAAAAGGCTTTGCATTGCATAATTAATCAGAAGAGTGTGGTGTTTTTGATCTGAGCAGTGGTTCTTTATCAGTTGCCTTTTTGATCAGAGTGTTGCTTTGTATCCGAGTGTTTGATTATCACGTCATTTCTATATGACATGGGAAATGTAATAACTTCTACGACATGAGTATCAACATCTTATGAACAAATTATGAAATATTTTAAGTAAAATATTAAGTAACAACACGCAAAACGTAAAATGATTTCATGATTGTGATGTTCTTCAGAGAGAGTCAGTTGAGCTGATCAGTAGTGTGGAAGTTTTACTGTACGACTGAACACAACAAACGCCAGCACTCAGTCAGCTAAAAGCGTATATACACAACCAAAGTGCTAACTATCTATCAACTTTACATGACTATCTGCTGGGCCTATTCAGGACTGGAGAGTGCTATATGAATTGCTGAACCCACAATCATACAAACAAATAAGTGAAAAGAATGTGTGTCGGTTAGATAGAGATCATTGTACACCAGGGCCTATATTCCATGAGTGGAATGAAACTGGTGACAGCTGATGTCATCAAGATAAAATACCTTTTATACCCCATGTCAGCTCCATATTCTGACTGACATACTTTCTGTAGAAGTTATTAGACAGTCACAATGCTGATGTATGACTCGTACATGTGACCTGACCGTTTAACCTATTAAAATAATCTGAATAAATGTTGCCCCTGCCTTTTTTTGGCCTGCATGTTGGTAGAAGTGTTCAAATAACTGTTCTCTGAAATGCAAATCAGGAATTAAGGATGGATTCCTCACCAACTTTGTGTCAACTAGATCCTAACTAAACAAAGACAGACATTTTATGACAATATATAAAAATTCTTTTGTGTTTTCTCTTTTCAGGGCGAGACATGAAAACAATTACAAGGACATAGGAAGGGGCAAGAGTGAATATGACAAGCATTAGGTGAGGGTCATTATTTTCAGTACAAGAAAAAACTCTGACCCACGCATTCCTGTTTCAAATGACAGCCTCAGATAAGACTAGAAAAGTCCTTTAGTGGTTCTTGTCCATTGTTTGTCAATGCAGTCAGTCTGTGTTGATGATGTAACATAAAGTGGTGTTCATCAAGGGTCAGTTCTTGGCCTCAGTCTGTTTACCCTGTGTACCTAACAGTGTCATCAACTCTGCGAGTACCTTGGATTATTATAGTTAGGCACAAATACTGAAGAATAATGAATAACTAATGACAGAGTGTTTACAGGTTGGAACCAGTTCCAAGTTGGAGAAGCTGGGGAGGTTGTTACTGACAACCTGGCAGGCAACTCAATGCAGCATTCTCTAACTCAGCAAAGACTCTTGGGTTGATCTAGACTGCAGTCTTACTGTGGAACATCTAGTGAGCCTATATCACTCACTAATGTACTTAGCGCCGTGAGCAGGCAATGTGCCTGGATATGAGCGCGCCATATAAGCGGACGATTACTATTACTATATCAACATCCGTAACATAGCAAGCATTTAATATATATCCTTCATGAAAAGAAACTGTCTGCAATTTAACAGTTTCCAAAACAAAGGGTGAATAACAATCACAAATACTGAGGTATTTTAAATAGCATCCATATAAATAATCTAATTAGATCTCCTTGAACAATTTGAGGCATCATCACTGACTAGAACATGCCCAGTATTTTCTGATGTGATGTTGACAGACACTGATGCAAATGCATGGGATGAATACATGGGAATGGACCCATGAAGGTCAGGGTTAGAATTGATCTTCAGTAACCCATGCTTGTCGTAAGAGATGACTTACGGGATCAGGTTGTCAGGCTTGCTGACTTGGTTGACACATATCATCGTGTCCCTATTGCGTAGATTGATGCTCATGTTGTTGATCACTAGATTGTCTGGTCCAGACTCGTTTATTTACAGACCGCCACCATGTAGCTGGAATATTGCTGAATGCGGCATAAAACTAAACTCACTCACTCCCTCCTAAGGTGAGTGACAGAAGATTGAAAGAAATCTTTAAGCCTTGTGTAGCTACAACAATTGTTGCACAACAACAAAGGTTCTTGCACAACAACATTAAATATTACAGAACAACAACAGTATTATGTTTCGGTGCCGCTACATTGACAGCATCAACTCTTGATGTATACCACTTTCCACACCACTAAGATCCTTCACATGTACACATAAATCAATGACATTAACAATAATGGCGTTGTTTTCGTCACCAATCAAATCTCAGCCCAGCACAACTCCAGGCTTCACACTCCAAGGTTCAGGTTTCTGATTACATCCCTGGATCACAATGATGCCGTATAAGAACAATAAAACACTCACTCAATTCCTGCCCCCACGGGGTCCAGGATACCACCAACTCCACAGATTGTTTTTCCTGGTCGATACATGGCGCTAACATCCGCCAGGTTGTCAGATCAGCATTGATTATATCAACATGGGGGATATCAGTCTGTATTTACCTGTGACAAACAATTGTTTATATCCTGGAGCAAGTGGAAATAATTGCTGATATCAGTTGTAATTTGCATGTGACTTTATTTTGATGTATATTGACTTGACATTTAACATTCCATCAAAGTATCTGCACATTACATTCGCAGTATCATAACATGTTCATACTGTTCAGTGTATCATAAGTCATCCACATTACTGTATTGTAATGTGATCACACAGTTGTATCATAATGTGATGTATCATTACTCATTTCACCATTTCACACTGTCATAATTTGTAATGTGATCACACTATCATATTGCAAGGTAAGGTAAGTATTCTCCTTTTATTTACTATGATTGTACATTTGACAATATTGTATATAATGTTTTTCGCTGACATTACTGTGATGTATTCCTTGTGTGAAATCTTTGAGCCTTCCTGATCACATCTTGTACTTTACTTGAATAACATGATTATTAAATATCAGTATGTTAATGTGTCATGTATTACACAAAATGATACAAAAGTGCATTTACATGTTGTAAAATCGGATTTAATATCTTCATGTTTCTCATCAGTATTATCATTGTAACAAAAATGTTTCACTACTTGTAACAAACTTCTAATACAAGTGTTCAACTTTTTGAATTCAAAATTTGTAACAAACTACACTGAAGTAAATAGCTGTGTCATCATTTTGAAGATTGTCCAATAAATAATTTTGAATATGTTTGGTCATACAGTTGCCCTTAAGTCTTCAGATGAAGCCAGAAGTTAGGACCCTGCCTCCACTGTGTTTCTGTCCCATCTGTTATTATACATACAATTCCACACAGCCACAAACACACACTGACAGCTCCTACAGGTAACATGTGTACATACACCACACACCCTGGACAGGTACACACACCAGCTGCAGGGGAGGAAGTCATAAATCTCAATGATTGTTGCAATAAACAGAAAGTCAAACACTCAGATATATGACCCTAATCTATGTTCATAGGTATGTCTTCTACTGCCAGATCTATTTCTTGGATCAAACATCCAAAGCTACAGCCAAGCCTCTTTCCTGACAGTAAGCTGTGGTGCTTTGTCTGTTCATGACCCACCGTTTACTGTGTGAGTGAGTGAGTGGAGTGAGTGAGTGAGTGAGTGAGTGAGTGAGTGAGTGAGTGAGTGAGTGAGTGAGTGAGTGAGTGAGCATTTACTCAAACATGTAAGTCGAGTCATCAGTGGTGCAAGTCCTACAAGAGGGCTCTGTCCAACTTGATGTGAGTATTCCTACCTATTCTGTCAGTATTCAAGAACTTACTGATCTATCAAAATACCATGTAATTGGGATTCAGAACTTTGTATCTGTGTATCCTTGCAAATACATGAGATAAAGGATGTCACACAATAACTGAAATTATGTTAATAGTCAGAATCCCCAGTTTACAATGTGGTGATTGTGTGTGGGCACTGGAGACAACTGGTCGTTTAGGAAATATGCTCTGGAAAAGCACATCCTTGTGAACTAAACTCAAAGTCAAACTCCTTGCAATTCTAGAAGTCCCCCTAAAACAAAAGTCACCAGCTGTGACAACCTGATCTCTGTGTCTAAAGTTTCCTGAACAGAGTCAAAGTCAGACTTGTATATATGATAATAAAGAAACCTAAAAATTCTAGAAAGCGCTGTATACAAAAGGCCCCAGTTGACAAACCTGGTCTCACCGTCTGCAAAGTTTAATGTAAGAATACCTGCAAGACATTGTCTGGCCAAACACACCATTATGAACTGAGTTTAAACGAAAGTTGTGGAATATGTTTCTTTCAAAACTCCCTTAGTAACGAGGCCATTCTTGTTACAAAAATGTCTTTTTAATAATGTGTAAAATTTTATGAAAGAAACCTTGTTAGTAATGATCTGGCCACAAATTGTTACGGACAGACAGATGGACAGATGAGTTGATGACTATATACCCAACTGCTCAGGGATAACAAGCTGGATTCATGCATGTCACTTGTGTAACCCATCTGAGATGCCATCAGGAAGTAATAAAGTTGTATTTCCTGATTGTGGCTTTTAGCTCCAGTCCATGGATGAAAAATGTGTCATCACCTCAACAACACAACACTATCTACATACCTTGTATACCTGCTGTGTACGTTTAAATGTTCGTTCTCGTAGAATTACAATCCGGTCAGACTTCAGGTGAGACAAAGATTCCATAGTTTGTTGTCTTTGTGAGATTGTTTGGAACCAGATTATCGGCACACAGATCCAGGGTGATGTAAGGAGGGATCAACAGGGAACAACCACAGTGATTCTGTGGGACACAGCAGCACCATCAGGAGAGTGAGATACCTGACAATATTCTAACAAGTTTCTGTCATGTCAGCTCAGTCAGAGTGAAGAAGTTCAACAGAGCTTGGGAAAATGGCTGAAGTAACTGTGACTTTCCTGACGACCGGCTGGTTGAGCTACTACAATTTTACAATATCTGCTTGGACAAGTAGTCATAACGGACACCATGATCTACTCTCAATACTGACATCAGTTTCCTATCTTGCTTCAGTTACATCACATATAGATATAATCCAGTGTGAAAGTACATTCACAAAACTCATGATCCATTCACATGAACAGTCAGTAATGCAGGTGGCCAGAAAATCACATTAAGTTCCAAAGAAACATCCATCAACAGATGGAATTTGGAACAGATGGATTTTTTACTTCAAATTCCAGCAAACGAGATGTCCTCACGGCAAAGAACAGTTCTCAAATTGTAAACAATTGAACAATTTAAGTAGTACCAGATAGTGTGGTAACTGAAACTATTGAGCACTGTAGATCCTCAATACACTGGCAAGTCTCGAACACGCTCCTTACACTGTCAGTTTTATGATGAGCTGTGAGGATTGTGCGTACATCCCACTGTGAGATAAGCCTAACTCACGTCCACCACATATGTGTGTAAATCAATGGGAGTAGAAATCACGGCAATATATCTAGTGATAGGTCCATTAACTCTCTCCTCACATCAACCATGCACAGACTTGTCCGATCCTTCACTGGCTCAAGTAGACTCCAACATTTCTGTCATAAATTTCACGTGCCGAAAACCAGGCCATCACTCCCGACCAGTTATTACAAACTATTTGTCAAAAATGCCATCAAACCCCTTCCGAACATCTTTCAACTTTATACTCCCCAATAATTTCCAAGAATTGGATTTATCACATGATGCATCTTCTGTTTCTGGCATAATACTGTGTAATCCATGTTCCCATGGAAACAGTTTCAATAATTTACAATTCTGATTTGTACAAAATGTTCACAAAATTTCAACAACCACTACTTTTCCAGTCAGAAAATACAAACATTGTTGATGAATTGTCCAAACCGAGCTCAGCGTGAACACTCTTCATGAGCACCACATAAGAACCACACAAAATTAACTGTACACTACCACTGAAGATGTCACTTTGTTGACAAAATCACCATGGCAACAAATGGAATCAGTTTCTCATTGGCCGTGTAACAACCAGTATTGATCAGTGAAGTCACGCAACAACTCGTGCTTCAGATTTCATGGAGATACCAGGTTGCGGAAATCCATCTTTTAGCAACAATGTAGAGGTGTTTGGGAGTTTATCAGTGTTTGGCAACATTCACCATTGATCTATGTCACAGCAGCAGTCACACACTATGTCCCTGATTCCTGAGATAACACACAGCTTAGAACTTAAACCCAGTGTTGAAATCTTACCTCAACAGGAATTACAGTTGATGTCTCACTGTGTACAGGTGCCTCCATAACTAAAATGACAACCTTGTAAGGGCGTCAACTGTAATGCTGAACTAACCCAGGGTTTGACATTTTGTTATGATTGGTTGTCAAATGGTCGGCTCTACTGTGTACACACAAGCATTGGGATTGCATTTGGGAAGTTACAAAGAAGTATTGAAACATTAAAACATTTGCTTTCTCATCTGGGAAGTTACAAAAAGCAACATTAAAACATTTGCTTTCTCATCTGGGAAGTTACAAAAAGCAACATTAAAACATTTGCTTTCTCATCTGGGAATTTACAAAAAAGTATTGAAACATTAAAACATTTGCTTTCTCATCTGGGAAGTTACAAAAAGCAACATTAAAACATTTGCTTTCTCATCTGGGAATTTACAAAAAAGTATTGAAACATTAAAACATTTGCTTTCTCATCTGTGTAGTTACAAAGAAGTATTGAAACATTAAAACATTTGCTTTCTCATCTGGGAAGTTACAAAAGCAACATTAAAACATTTGTTTTCTCATCTGGGAACTTACAAAAAGCAACATTAAAACATTTGCTTTCTCATCTGGGAAGTTACAAAAGTATTGAAACATTAAAACATTTGCTTTCTCATCTGGGAAGTTACAAAAAGCAACATTAAAACATTTGCTTTCTCATCTGGGAATTTACAAAAAAGTATTGAAACATTAAAACATTTGCTTTCTCATCTGGGAAGTTACAAAAAGCAACATTAAAACATTTGCTTTCTCATCTGGGAAGTTACAAAAAAGTATTGAAACATTAAAACATTTGCTTTCTCATCTGGGAAGTTACAAAAAGCAACATTAAAACATTTGCTTTCTCATCTGGGAAGTTACAAAAAGCAACATTAAAACATTTGCTTTCTCATCTGGGAAGTTACAAAAAAGTATTGAAACATTAAAACATTTGCTTTCTCATCTGGGAAGTTACAAAAAGCAACATTAAAACATTTGCTTTCTCATCTGGGAAGTTACAAAAAAGTATTGAAACATTAAAACATTTGCTTTCTCATCTGGGAAGTTACAAAAAAAGTATTGAAACATTAAAACATTTGCTTTCTCATCTGGGAAGTTACAAAAAAGTATTGAAACATTAAAACATTTGTTGTGTAGACCACTGATTTATTTTTTATGATAATGGTCACAGCAAGAGCATTTTGCTTGTTAGATTACCAGGGACAAAGATTTCATGTAGTCTTAACGGTTTTATAGCCATTGCTCTACCAAATGGAATTAAGTGGGGTTTTTTTAAGCTTAATGGGTAGCAAGATGTCGGTGCTCATATGAGATTGATGAGATTTTGTAACAGATATTCAAACCATTAAAAGATTAGGAAGGTTTCTTCAATAAAAGAGATTGTTTTACATAATCTTGAGAAACAATTCAGCCCATATTAGAAAAGCAATGACCACGTTATTGGATGAGAGATGTTGATTTTGAAAAATTGGATGCTTGATAAGTGCAGTTGTCTTCTCCCGGGTCAGTCCATTTTAGCACAGAAAACTTGGCCTGTAAGGGCAAAATGGAAACTAGATTCTGACAAAAGCTAGTGGTGACCTTGCCTCAGGAAGACTGTGCTTGACTTTCAGGACAAGACAAGGACAATAAACACGCTCACGCTCAAGACAAGGACAATAAAGGACTACTTCCTTCCACATCAAGATCAAATTATAGTCCATCAACCACTAGTGTGAAATACACTGTGGGCAAGCTATCAATCAATGGTCTTTTCAGATTCAATTTGACTGGTTAGGTAGAGACTACATGAAGCAGCTGTAAAAGGACCTTATCCCTTAGGAATGGGCTACAAGACTTGACTGTCAGACATGGGCTACAAGACTTGACTGTCAGACATGGGCTACAAGACTTGACTGTCAGACATGGGCTACAAGACTTGACTGTCAGACATGGGCTACAAGACTTGACTGTCAGACATGGGCTACAAGACTTGACTGTCAGACATGGGCTACAGGACTTGACTGTCAGACATGGGCTACAGGACTTGACTGTCAGACATGGGCTACAAGACTTGACTGTCAGACATGGGCTACAAGACTTGACTGTCAGACATGGGCTACAAGACTTGACTGTCAGACATGGGCTACAAGACTTGACTGTCAGACATGGGCTACAAGACTTGACTGTCAGACATGGGCTACAAGACTTGACTGTCAGACATGGGCTACAAGACTTGACTGTCAGACATGGGCTACAAGACTTGACTGTCAGACATGGGCTACAAGACTTGACTGTCAGACATGGGCTACAAGACTTGACTGTCAGACATGGGCTACAAGACTTGACTGTCAGACATGGGCTACAAGACTTGACTGTCAGACATGGGCTACAAGACTTGACTGTCAGACATGGGCTACAAGACTTGACTGTCAGACATGGGACTACAAGACTTGACTGTCAGACATGGGCTACAAGACTTGACTGTCAGACATGGGCTACAAGACTTGACTGTCAGACATGGGCTACAAGACTTGACTGTCAGACATGGGCTACAAGACTTCACTGTCAGACATGGGCTACAAGACTTGACTGTCAGACATGGGCTACAAGACTTGACTGTCAGACATGGGCTACAAGACTTGACTGTCAGACATGGGCTACAAGACTTGACTGTCAGACATGGGCTACAAGACTTCACTGTCAGACATGGGCTACAAGACTTCACTGTCAGACATGGGCTACAAGACTTGACTGTCAGACATGGGCTACAGGACTTGACTGTCAGACATGGGCTACAGGACTTCACTGTCAGACATGGGCTACAAAGACTTGACTGTCAGACATGGGCTACAAGACTTGACTGTCAGACATGGGCTACAAGACTTGACTGTCAGACATGGGCTACAAGACTTGACTGTCAGACATGGGCTACAAGACTTGACTGTCAGACATGGGCTACAAGACTTGACTGTCAGACATGGGCTACAAGACTTGACTGTCAGACATGGGCTACAAGACTTGACTGACATCAGACATGGGACATACAAGACTTGACTGTCAGACATGGGCTACAAGACTTGACTGTCAGACATGGGCTACAAGACTTGACTGTCAGACATGGGCTACAAGACTTGACTGTCAGACATGGGCTACAAGACTTGACTGTCAGACATGGGCTACAAGACTTGACTGTCAGACATGGGCTACAAGACTTGACTGTCAGACATGGGCTACAAGACTTGACTGTCAGACATGGGCTACAAGACTTGACTGTCAGACATGGGCTACAAGACTTGACTGTCAGACATGGGCTACAAGACTTGACTGTCAGACATGGGCTACAAGACTTGACTGTCAGACATGGGCTACAAGACTTGACTGTCAGACATGGGCTACAAGACTTGACTGTCAGACATGGGCTACAAGACTTGACTGTCAGACATGGGCTACAAGACTTGACTGTCAGACATGGGCTACAAGACTTGACTGTCAGACATGGGCTACAAGACTTGACTGTCAGACATGGGCTACAAGACTTGACTGTCAGACATGGGCTACAAGACTTGACTGTCAGACATGGGCTACAAGACTTGACTGTCAGACATGGGCTACAAGACTTGACTGTCAGACATGGGCTACAAGACTTGACTGTCAGACATGGGCTACAAGACTTGACTGTCAGACATGGGCTACAAGACTTGACTGTCAGACATGGGCTACAAGACTTGACTGTCAGACATGGGCTACAAGACTTGACTGTCAGACATGGGCTACAAGACTTGACTGTCAGACATGGGCTACAAGGACTTCACTGTCAGACATGGGCTACAAGACTTGACTGTCAGACATGGGCTACAAGACTTCACTGTCAGACATGGGCTACAAGACTTGACTGTCAGACATGGGCTACAGGACTTGACTGTCAGACATGGGCTACAAGACTTGACTGTCAGACATGGGCTACAAGGACTTGACTGTCAGACATGGGCTACAAGACTTGACTGTCAGACATGGGCTACAAGACTTGACTGTCAGACATGGGCTACAAGACTTGACTGTCAGACATGGGTAACAGGACTTCACTGTCAGACATGGGCTACAAGACTTCACTGTCAGACATGGGCTACAAGACTTCACTGTCAGACATGGGCTACAAGACTTCACTGTCAGACATGGGCTACAAGACTTCACTGTCAGACATGGGCTACAAGACTTCACTGTCAGACATGGGCTACAAGACTTCACTGTCAGACATGGGCTACAAGACTTCACTGTCAGACATGGGCTACAAGACTTGACTGTCAGACATGGGCTACAAGACTTGACTGTCAGACATGGGCTACAAGACTTGACTGTCAGACATGGGCTACAGGACTTGACTGTCAGACATGGGCTACAAGACTTCACTGTCAGACATGGGCTACAAGACTTGACTGTCAGACATGGGCTACAAGACTTCACTGTCAGACATGGGCTACAAGACTTGACTGTCAGACATGGGCTACAAGACTTGACTGTCAGACATGGGCTACAAGACTTGACTGTCAGACATGGGCTACAAGACTTGACTGTCAGACATGGGCTACAAGACTTGACTGTCAGACATGGGCTACAAGACTTGACTGTCAGACATGGGCTACAGGACTTCACTGTCAGACATGGGCTACAAGACTTGACTGTCAGACATGGGCTACAA